TCTAGGAGTCGCAGGGCTGGGGCAGGCCCTGAGGAGACGGCCACCCGGCCGGGCAGGGACAAGCTCTAGCACATGCCCGGAAGGGTCAAGAACTGGTCGCCTCAGCCTTCCCTGGTTAGCTAGAACCGAGACATGTTAGCGTGGGGGCCTGAGACCCTCCTTCCCTCTGGGCCCAGGAGTGAGCTGCCAGCGCGGCGCCGAGGGCCTGGGACCAGCTCCCTGCAGTGGCCTCGGCCCGAACCGGGAACATGTGTGACCCCCAGGTGTGACGCTCGGAGACCCCTGACCCGGGGACATGGACTCAAGAGAAGCACTGGGTCAGGTGTCCTGTACACTTCGGCGACCTCCCCTCCTCCCCCCAGGTGACTCCGAGCCCAGCGGAGAACGACGTGAAGGTCCCCCACCCCCCACCGGATATGAACACGGAAGGCCCCCTGGCCTCCCTCATCCTCCTCACCGCCACCCTGCAGCCCCTGACGCCGAGGCCCTCAGAGATTATTGCCCCCTTGGCCTTCTGGAACCTTCCCCCTATCCCCAACAGACAGAAAGCCTTCTGGAACCTTCTTCCGGAAGCCTCGGGGGTCCGAGCTTTCGGGTCTCCTCCTCCTCCCTCCAGCCCCATGAGGCTGTACCCTTCTGGAATCTCCCTCCCCTCATTCTGGGGCAGGAACCCAGCTCAGCCCAGGCTCCCGTGTCCCGCCCACCCCAGGCACAGAGCCTCCGGACCCCCTCATCGCTCCCTACCAGGACGGCCACAGCCTTGGAGGTCGCGGCTCGAAAGCTTGTGGAGCGAGGCTAAGACCAGGCCCAATTCCCGCGAGATCTTCCGGGAAAACATCCCGCGAGACTTTGCGGGAGACAATCCCGCGAGACCTACCCGAAGCACATCCCGTGAGACCTTCCAGAATATCCCGCGAGATCTTCCAGAAGCACATTCCGTGAGATCGTCCCGAAGAGCATCCCGCGAGATCGTACTGAAGACCATCCCGCGAGACCTTCCAGAAGCATGTCCCGCGAGACCTCCTCCGGGAACATCCTGGTGCACGGGCTCTCCCTGCAGCGTCCTGAATAGCAGCTCTGGAAAGTTCCAGAAGCTGCTTCTTGGCCAGGCGGGTGGAGGCTCCATGAGGAGTCCAGTAGAGGGGTTGGGGCCGGGTCTCCGTGGCGGTGACGGGATCTCAGTAGTGGGGTGCCGGGTCTCATCCTGGGACAGGACCCCTGGCCTGACTCTGCGTGCGACCTGGCTGTAGATGGGGTGGGGTGCGCGGGTCTCCTCTCAGCTGGGGGGAGGGTTCCTGGGGGGTCTCCGGCCGGGGGGCGGGGTCCTGACTTAGTCCCCGAGTTGGGGCGAGGTGGGGAGCGGGGGAATTTTCTTGGGGTTTCTGAGGATCGTGTTTGTGCAGGAGTGCCGTCCTCAGCCAGGCTCAGCAACCTGTGACCTCTGGGGTGGGCGTGTGGCCCCGGGGGCTGCACACCCGGGATTATCTCCAGACACAGGCTCTGATGGAGGCTGCCTCTCACCCCCCAGAGACAGAAGCCAAGGAATGTGCTCGTGGACTTGGATCCCCCCACCCCCCACCATCTGCTGTGGCATGCCGGGGCAGCCCCCAGAGCCCATCCCCAGGGAGTGAGTCACTGCAGCAGACCCACACTGCCCCCTCACACAAAGCGCTGGCCAGCCTTGCCTGTTTGACATAAGGTCACTGCCCGGGTACCCTGGGATCGTTCCAGAAAGCGTGTGTGTCACCGGAAGAGCCGCACAGGCAGGTTTCTGGGCCTCCACAGTGTAAGCTAGGAAGGGTCATCGGTATGCCTGGGTCTCCCAGGTAAGGGAGGGTGGCCCAGAGTTTGAGGCCTTTGACTTGGAGGGATGATGCCGGCTTGCCCTTCCGCGTCACTGCCTTTCCACTCCCGATTCCCAGTTTCCCCTTGACTAGGATCTCTGTGTTCTCACACCCTCATTTTATTTCTGGACCACACCTTGTGTCTGCGAGGGTTTGCCCCTGTCAATCTGAAACTGCTCTCCAACCAGCTTTCCTCCCTGAAGCTCACTCTCCCAGATGTTCCTGAATTTCTGTGTCGCTGAGGAGAGTGAGTTTCTACAAAAACTTGACTGCAGGTCAGTTGTGATGTGTGTTTATTGCTCTGCATGCAGTTTCCTCCAAACACGGCAAGGACATTGTTTATTCTCACACGACTTTCTGGGGTCAGATCACCCTTTTCCTGTTGGGCCACACACAGAAAATTCCGGAATGTTTTGGCATCACGTGAGGGATGTAGAAGACTTTAGACGTGAACTACAGCTTTTGACCTTAGTCTCAGGTGCCTATCTCGCATCCCGGGCTGCCTCTGCATCCGTCACAAGCCCATGTTTCTGCCAGCGTTCCTGGCCCAGGGAAGACTCAGGCAGCATAGACATGCCACAGTCTGATTTTTTTTCCTTTCAGGGTCACACCAGGAGATGCACAGGGGTTACTCCTGGCTCTGCACTTAGGAATTACTCCTGGCAGTGCTCGGGGGACCAGATGAGATGCTGGGAATCGAATCCGGGTCGGCCGCGTGCAAGGCAAATGCCCTCTCCACTGTGCTATTGCTCCAGCCCCGAGGGTTTTTTTTTTTTTTTTTTTTGCGGGGAGGGGGTGTTCCACACCTGGTGGTGCTTAGGGCTTACACCTGACTCTGCACTCAGGAATTACTCCTAGCGGTAGCTCAGGGGACCCTATGGGATGCTGGGAATCGAACCCGGGTCGGCTGTGTGCAAGGCAAATGCCCTCCCCGCTGTGCTATCACTCCAGCCCCCATGCCACAGTCAGAGTCTCCTGCTGATTCGTGCTGATTTATGTTTCTGTCTCGGCCATGTTTTCTAGATTTCACTGTAACAACTCGCCTTACTTCATTTACTTTATTCTGAAGAATTTATCTTTTTTTTTGGCTATTAATTACATTAAGTCATTTTTCTTTTCTCTATAGGCTGTTCACTATGATTATTTAGCAACTCTGACTGACCCTGCGTGTCTAGTTTGCATCGTGCTATGGGCTCTGGAGGTGGCAGCTGAGAGGTCCGCATGCAACCTGGCGCATCTGGGCTGCTTTCCTCCCAGAGCTGCTTCAGAGTTTGCTGAGTGTTCTCTCATGAAGGAGGCCAATTTGTTAAACTAACTGCTTGCATCAATTGAAATGACTTTCCATCTTTCATTCTGGTATTTTGGAGTGTTAATGTTCTTTTTTCTCTTTTCTTTTTGTCTTTTGCTCAGGGAACCATATGGAATGCAGGGGATCAAACCCAGGACAGCTGCATGTAAAGCAAATGACTGCCTGCTGTTTTATCACTCTGGCCCCAATGTTAATTTTTATTATGCTGAAACATAATCTGTCATAGAAACAAATTACACCTAGTCATGGCGTCTCCTATTGGGACACTTCCATATGATACTGGCTTCAGCGTGCTTGTACTCTGGAGGGAGAATGGCCTCTGCTTAGTTTTCTCGTTTTTCCTCTCTCAGCGTCTTTGTCTAGCTGTGGAAGCCAGGTAGCCCTGCCTTTCTCCCATAGGTTTCGGGGAGTTTTCCCACCCCATTACGTTCTGGGAGAGTGAGAATGACGGTATCGTTCCAGGCAGAGCCACCCCTGTCTGGAGCTCTCTGCTGGAAGGTTGCAGAGGACCTTTTTCACTATTATTTTTGGACCATACCTAGCAGTGCTCAGGGATTAGTCCTGTCTTGGCCCTCAGGGATCACTGCTGGGTGTCCATACGCAGTGCCAGAGATAGAACCCGGTGATTCACGTGCAAGGCAGGCACCCTCCCTGCTGTGTTATCGCTCTAGCTCCCTTACAGATGACCTTTTCTCCTCCTCTTACAAGTTGTAAGTCGATTCACATCTTCTGGTTCTGCATGAGTACATTCAAAACTAGTCAATTTGTGAATTTTGCATTTACAGAAACTTATAGCTGTCAGTTTATTGTCCTATGATTCTTTAGAATATCGTCTTACAGTGCTTCATAATTCTGTGCAAATGGTCATAATACCTTCTCTTTCACTCTTTTCGGTTTTGGGCAACAACAGCCGTGTGTTCAGATGTTAGGAACAGGCAGCTTGGCCCTGGCTTGCAGCATCTCCCCTCCACAGGCCCTCCCTGCTGTACTACTTCTCCAACTCCTCGCTTTCATTTTGCACTTACCTATTTTCCTCATCTATAGTGTATGTTCCTGCTGTCACTGTCACTGTCCTGCCATTGTTCATGATTTGCTCGAGCGGGCCCAGTAAAGTCTGCATTATGACAATTGTTACTGTGTTTGGCATATCGAATACGCCACGGGGAGCTTGCCAGGCTTTGGCGTGCGGGCGAGATCCTCTCGGTAGCTTGCCAGGCTCTCCAAGAGGGGCGGAGTACTTGAACTCGGGTCGGCCATGTTGGCCGCTTGCAAGGCAAGAACCATATTCTTGCTAGTGATTTTAATTTTTCCCCCTTTTGTAGTTCTACTTTTTGAACTCATGCTTCTTAATGTCACTTGATCAGCATTGTTGTTTCACTCAGTGAGTTTTCCAAAATTTAATGCCTTTGCTCATTTGTCAAGATGTTCTTTTTTTTTGAGCCATTGGCTATTTAGGAATGTTACCTACTGTTCAACTAAATAGCTTCTGCAAAGTAAGTTAACAAAATCAAAAGGCTGGTGAGCAAATGGGAGCAGTTATTTGGTATATTTGTGAAGGATTAATACCCAGAATGTGTCAGAAAGTCATTCCTATGTGAGTCTCCTTGCCTGTGGGGTGACGGTGCCCAGAGCTGCCTCTTGCGAAGGGAAGTGTGGCAGGTAGCGTTGACCAGGGCCCTTCCACGCGCTGCACACTTCCTACGAAGAGGAGGTTCGGGGGCTCTGACCAGTGAGAACACCGGAAGGCAGCTGTGGGCCCAGGGCTCGAGAGACATGAGCCTGGTGGGAGGCAGCCAGTGGGGACCCACGAGGAGTGTGTGTGGCCCAGGGGCCTGGAGCGTCATGGCCTAGTTTATGGCCCTGATGGTGAGGAGAGGGAACGTGGATGGTATCAGCAGGAAGCGGTAGAGCATCCCTAAATCTTCCTGCTTTGGGGTTTCCACCATGAAGTTTTTCAGCACCTAGGACAGACACCCAGGAAGTAGCTCTGCGACCCACTCCAGGCAGGCAGTCCAGAGCTGGCCCCCACCCAATGGGCACCCAGCACCCCGGCTCTCACGTGGTGCATCAGAAGCAGCATCTCCGTCTTGGCCAGGCGCCGCCCCAGGCACTGGCGTATACCGAATCCGAAGGCCAGATTGGGCAGCCTGGTGTTGGTGTCCTGCTCCAGCCAGCGCTTGGGGTGGTAGCGCTCGGGACTGGCGAATGTGGTGGGGTCTCGGCCCAGGGAGTAGAGTGCCACCCTGACTTTGGTCTGCAGACAGGGAAGAGCCAGCTGCGTCTTGGGAGAGGGTGAGGTTGCACAGCAGGCAGGGGAGGGGGTGGGCTCACTCACCCCCGTGGGTATCCAGTAGTTGTGCAGCACTGTGTCAGAGGTCAGCTCGCGGTCCAGAAAGGGGCCCACTGGGTACAGCCTGTGAGCACGTCCACTGGCTTCTCAGCCACCCTCGGAGCCTCCTGCCCTGGAGGGCTCCCAGCTCCCACCCAGACACTGGCTGCTGGCACCGAGAGGCCCACAGGCCACACTGCGTATGTTATGTGGAGGCAGGAGGAGCCCCTCACCTCAGGGTCTCCCTCAGGGCTCCTTTCAACAGGGGCAGTTCTGTCAGCACCTTCCGGGGGTCTGCTGAGATGGTGGCCTCTGCCCGCAGGCTCTCCTGGCGCACGGCCTGCTGCACCTCCGGGTTTCGAGCCAGCTCAAAGAGGGTCATCAGCATAGGGTAGACTGTCTGCAGGCGGCATGCGGCTGAGCCCACGGCTCCCACAGCTGCCTCCCCCGCCTCCCCCGGGCACAGGCGGGTTTGCTCCTGCCCGCTGGCTCCAGGGCTCTGGAGGCCTGCTCCCCAGGCTCCCGGGCCCCGGTTCTCCAGAGAGGCCAGCCCGGGCACCAGAACCCTGCCGGGCTTTTTCCTGGGTACAGCCATGGCAGCTTAGCCTGACATCTGGGGTCAAGCGGCTCCAGTGCTCGTTGCCATGGCGATCACCCTGCTGTCTCTGCTGTGTGGAATGGGCCTCCGGCTGCAGGACATGCCCCCTCTGCCCTCTGGTTTTGGATTCAGGGCTGGGGACAGCAACCTCCAACACAGCCCTGGCCTCTGTCTTCACCTGTGTCATCCCTGCAGGCCTTCTGCCTCCTTTCCGCCTGCAAGGTCTGTGGCCCCCAGGCCTCTACCCTCCCAAATGACCTAGTGGCACCATGTGCCTCTGCTCTGCTGAGCATGTGAGCGGAGGAAGGTTGGGCTAGAAGCCGGCTAGCAGCTCTAGTAGCTCTGTGCAAGGGACAGGTCTGCTCCCCTCCTGGGACCCTCCCGGTTCAGGGCAGGGGTGCTTTTGTAGCCCCTCGACTGAGCTCCACGCTTCCCCTCCACAACTCAGACTCCCACATGCCCTGTACCTCTGCTGGTGACAGACACTGCTCCGGGGGCTTCCCGCAGCCTACCCATTCTGGGGACCAGGATGAGGGAGACTGGTGTTAGGGGTACCCTTCCCCCCACCCCCCCCCGGGCAGGGCCGGCTGCCATCCTGACCGTGTCCACGCTTCCGGCAGTCATGTCAATGGAGTTGGCCCAGATGTGTTCCAGGTTCATGTCTGCATTGGCTAGCAGTGTGGCCACGATGCCACTGTAGTGCTGTGGGTGGCCCAAGGACAGCTCCTGGTAGATCCTCTGCATGGAGTTGCTGGCTGTGGGCAAGGATACAGTGGCCTCCTATGGGCACCCGCGGGCCTTTCCTGCCGGATCCCAGCACTCTTGAGGTCTCCCCGGGGCTGTATGTGGCCGGCCGAGCCTCACCGTAGTGGAAGATTAAGTCCCAGGCCTCAAAGTGCTCCCTCCACAGGGCGCTGCTGGTCCATTGGGACAGGCTCTGGTGCTGGTGGTACATGAGCTCCACCGTGGACTTGAAGATGAACTCCAGGGCAGACAGGAAGTCCTCATTGGCCTGGGTCGGGGCCTCTCTCAGGAGATTCATCCGCTCCCCGAACAGGACCAAGCTGCTGGCTGAAGGGAGGCAGGCGCTGAGCCCGGGCGGCTGGGTCCCTGCATGCCCCGAGCCGCTGCCAGACCCACCTTCCATGGCAAAGCGCATCAGGCTGGGCTTCATGTCCAGCGTGAGGCAGCGGCGGGTGTTCTGCAGCACCTTGGCGCGGAGGATCTGTGAGAATTCCCGGGCCAGTCTGTCCAGCATGGGCAGGAAGTTGTGCACGGCCTGCTGTGCCAGCACATGGGGGTTCAGGAGCATCCTCTGTGCGAACCACTCAGGGCCATTTCTGGGGAACAGAGAGCAGAGCTGAAGCAGCCGGACGGCCTGACGTGCATGTCTGCAGGGCGCCCCAACCAGGGCGCAGAGAGGACAGGACTCTGATGGCCGTGCTGCCCGCAGCCTCTGCGTTTGCTCCTGCAGTAGTGGGCCGTGTCCAGCCCTCCCTGGGCATCAAGTCCAGATGCTTTTGGCACTTGCTCAACCCGGCCCAGAAGGAGGTTGGCCCTGCCCATCCCATCGCCCTGTGCCCTACCTAGATCCCTCCCTCTGCTCAGCGGGCTCCTCCCTGGAGGCCTCAGACAGGGCTGGGGGATTCTGGGGGGCTCAGAGACCCTCAGGAGAGGGACAGAAGGTACCTCTTTTCGGCCCAGCCACTTGCTGGTACCAAGGAAGTACGGGCAAACCTGGGCCTAAGGTCCCTCCCTGAGCAAAGAGGCATTGTCCCCCCTCCTGTGCCCATGGAGACAGATCGACACACACATGCCCACATGCATTGGGGACACACATATCCCTGCATGTCTGGGGACATGCACTCACACAAATGCATGGAAACATACATGCATGGGGACACATGCCCACATGTGTGGGGACATGCATTCATTCACATGTGTGGGATCATACATTCAGGCCCACAGGCATGGTTATGGGCACTCGTGCCCACATATGTGGGGACAGGCACGCCCACATGGATGGGGACACACATGACCCACATGTGTGGGAACACATTCATACACCCATAGGCGTGGGTTAATGTACTCACAGGCCCACATGCATGGGGACACGCCCATGTCTGCACACGCCACACATGAGCACGGCAGCTTTCCTGGGCCACATTCACACATCAGAGTCAGGCGTGCACATGTGCACAGACCCACACAGAATCATGGCCCACAGACAAAGCATGCATGATGAAGTGACCCCACACACTCAGGCCTGCTCCCCAGCCCACCTACAGCTGGCTGACTGCCCAGAGGGACCCACACCCAGCAACATAACCCCAGCCTAGAACCCCACAGAAGGGCTCCCCCGACATCAGGCAGTGCCAACCCAGACCACCTGGCCCAGCACCTCCCATTCCCTTCAAAAGACTCACCAGTCCTCAGGGGCCGATGCCTCAACTCTTGACCAGGGGCCATCCTATAATGGGGTCTGTGTGCCCTGACATGCTCAGGCCCTGGCTGGCATCATCCTCTGTCCACTGCCCTGACCTGGGGGTGATGACCAGGCAGGGCAGGCGCTAGGAAGGACCTACTCCTCCCTCCTGCCAGGGACGAGAGTCACCAGCCTGGGCACTGTCCCTGCATGCCCCTGCCTTCTAACCGCACTTGTGCCCACGCTGCCAAAGACAAAGGCACCGGCCTGGGTCCCCACCGCCCCGCATTCGCCCCGTCTCACAGCAGGAACACGCCGCGCTTGTGCCCGCGCTGCTGTCGGTGGCTCAGCCAGGGCTGCGGGAAGCCGCGGCGTGGAAAGCGACAGTCCGCCTGCATCAGCCTCTCTGTGTCCTCCAGCTGCATCACGTAAACGGTGCATTTCCCGCCCATGTCAAATCTGCGGGACAAATCCAGAGCCCTGCCAGGAGGTGGCGTCTGCGTGGGGTCCCCCCGTCCAGGATGGGACTCGCGCCCTCATGCCACTTGGAGTCCCGCTCATCAGTGACCCCCCACCCAGGGTCTGACCTGAAGATGGGGCCCAGGTCCTGGAAGGCCCGGTGCACCTCCAGGTGGAGGTGCTCCCAGTTGAACCCCTTTCCTGAAAGTAGCTTCATCCATGAGCTGACAGGATACTGGGGGACGGCAACAAAGGGCAGTACCGGCTCGCCGGCCACCGCAGCTCTGCAGCCCAGGGTCTGGGCCCTGTAGGAGGTCAGCCGTAGGGGTGCCTGTGCCCTGAACGCCATCCTCACCCCCTCCGCCTGCTTCTGGCCCTCTTATTCCACCACGGGACCACGTCACAGCCAGCTCACAGCAAGGTCAAGGCTGAAGGCCACAGGGAGAGGGGAATGAGATTGGATGGCATCTGATTCCGTGGCCACGCATGTCCTGTCACAAGCCGCGGGGACAGTGCTGATGGCCATGGGGAAGATGGATAGCGCCTTATCTGGAGGATGGCGGCCTTGGCTGCTGCTTCTTCCCAAGGACCAGATAAGTGGCCTTAGGGACTCTTCCCCAGGGCCTCACTGCGACACTGTGTAATGTGGGGTCATGCCTGCCTCTGCCACAGCCCCTGGGGAGGCTCAGCCTGATGCATCCATTTCCCTCCATGCAGGGAACCTTGGGAGGTGAGGCTGGCTGTGTAGACATGGGCTCTGAGCATGAGACATGCCGAGGACAGCCCTTTCCAGTGGCCCACTGGGCTGCTCCCCTCAGTCTGCACTAGGCAATTGGGAATTCTGCCTTAATTCAGAAGAGTCTAGATGGACTCTCCACCAGCCCTGAGGTTATTCCCAGGTGTCCACAGCAGCCCAGACAGTTGGCCAGCTGTCCAGCGTCTGCCTGGCTCTATGAAGGGTTGTGTGTTCCCTGCGGCCGGCCCACCACCCACTGTGGTGACTTGCGCCAATTTTCTTGCTTTCCTGCTGTGTCAGGACACAGGAACCTCTCCTGTTGGCGTGCCACATCTGGGTGCCCACCCCACCTCCCTGGGCACAGGGCACAGAGATGGAGCCAACAGAGATCCTGCCGTGAGAACTTTCAGAGTCGTGGGGAGGACGGAGAAGCAAGAGCCCGTTTCAGGGGGGCAGTGTGTCCTGACCCTGAGCAGGCCTCCAGGCCTCTCCTTAGGCAGCAGATGAGGGTCCAGGTGCCTGATCCCCAGGCCCCCAGTACCCTTCTGGATGCCTCTGGGAGATGCCAGTGCTTGACCCAGACCCATGATGAAAGGAAGCATGTGTGCGGGGCCTTGCCAGGCTGGACCAGTGGACAGGCCTGCTCCAGGCACTGCACGTGGAGGAGGGAGCAGGCCAGGGGGAAGCCAGCACCGCCACAGGGTATGGTGCTGGCTGGGAACCCCTTCTCACTTGGACTCCAAGACAGGACAGTCACATGGAGCCCCATCAGGGATCCCTATGGCAGAGAGGTTGGGGTGTCCTGGTGGAGTCCCTGTGGTGGGATGGGGTGCCTGGGTGAGGTCTCTGTGTTGGGTGTCAGGGATCTCTATGGTGAGTCTGGGGGAGGGTCTCTATGGTGGGTTTCTGGAGGTCTTGCAGTCTGACCCATGCTGCCCCCTCAGAGCGCTGGCCAACCTTGCCTGTGGGACGCAAGGTCACTGCTAGGACACCCTGGGAATGTTCCAGAAAGAGTGTCACAGGAAGGCTCACACGGGTAGGTTTCTGGGCCCCTGTGAAGCATGAAGGAGATGGCCTCTCCCTGGAGGCCCAGGCGTGTGGCGGAGACTGCAGGCCACAACCCGACCTGCCCACAAGAGCCCATCATAGCCCCAACGGGACAGGGGCCGTCTGCAAGAGGCAGTGGATCCCCGTGGATGGGGATGTTATGTCCCAGGAAGGGAGTTTCGCTCACACATTGACCAGACCAGACACGAGGATGCAAATGCAAGGCCCCTTTATTGCTAGCTTGAGCTAGGGTCTGAGACTCATCCAATGCAGTGGAGTCTTGACAAGGACCCCAACTACAAATTCTGAGTAGCTTATATAGGGTTTGATTACATAACAGCATTTCCCCAGGGACTAACAGGTGTGTTTCTAATTCTTGGTCTGAGTCCTGTCCTGTGACTCGTCTCCATTGCCCGCCTCCACCTGGTGGGCGCCACTGCCCATGCCCCCCATTCTGATAGGCTGTTGCCTCAGGTCAGTCTATCTGCCCAGGGTGATATTGTTTTCTGGGAAATAGGGACTTTCTGATATGGGAAACTGAAACTTAGGCCTGCTGAGTTTTGGTCTTAAAGTGGAGCCTGTCGGGGCTGGAGTGATAGCACAGTGGGTAGGGCATTTGCCTTGCATGCGGCCGACCCAATTTTGATTCCCAGCATCCCATATGGTCCCCTGAGTACTGCCAGGAGTAATTCCTGAGTGCATGAGCCAGGGGTAACCTTTGTGCATCACTGGGTGTGACCCAAAAAGAAAAAAAAAGTGGAGCCTGTCATGGCTCCACTTCAGCCTCACATGCCGCCCTTTTCTTTTAGCTAAATCAAGGAATCTCCATTTTGTTGATGACATCGTTCTAATAACACCAAACATTAGCCAAGTGGCACAAATGCTGGCCGACTTCGACCGTGAGTGTGGAAAGGTCGAACTACAGCTGAATCTCATGAAGACAATGTTTATGAGAAACAGTCTCTTTCCTGATGTTCCATTCGCTCTCAATGGAATGAACATCTCCGAATGCAACAGTTATGTGTACCTAGGTCGAGAAGTCAGCATGACGAATGACCTGGCACCTGAGTTGCGCAGAAGGAAGAGAGTGGCTTGGAACGCCTTCAAGAGCGTTGAAGAAATAGCAAAGAGGACTAAGAACCTCCGGCTCTGGGCACATCTCTTCGATTCCACTGTTCTTCCTGAATTAACATATGCCTCAGAGACCTGGGCTCTACGAAAATAGAATGAGAATACTATTTGGGTCTCCCAAGAGGAATCGAAAGAGCTATGCTTGGAGTATCACACTTCATTCAAATGAGAGAAAGAATCCGGAGTTCCGACCTCCATCGATGGTCAAGAATCAGGGATGCTGTCTCATTTGCCAAAGCATCGAAAATCAGATAGGCTGGTGCCATGTCCTGCGCGGCCAACTTGAACCTTGGCTGGAGTGAGGGAATGAGAGAAAACCAGGGCTAGGGAGGGCTGCATGCAATATGTGGCATACAGCAAGTTCATTTCAATCCAAGCTAGTTTATATAGTCTTAATAATAAATAAATAAAGGCCCTCCCGTTGATCGTCGATTTGCTCGAGCGGGCCCAGTAACGTCTCCATTGGAGACTTTGTTGTTACTGTGTTTGGCATATCGAATACTCTCGGTAGCTTGCCGGGCTCTCTGAGAGGGGCGGAGGAATCGAACTCGGGTCGGCCATGTTGGCCGCTTTTAAGGCGAACGCCCTACCTGCTGTGCTATCGCTCCAGCTTTAGCAATTAGCAGGTTACATAAGCTTCATTAACAATATTAATCATGCTGTGCAAGCAACTTTATTTTTGCCAGTATTATTTGTTTTTCGGTTCCTTCTTGTTTTTCGGTTCCTTATCTCAGCCCTGAGAAACAAGGAATGGAGATGTGGCCTTGGGTCTGGCCAAGGCGGATACGAGTCAGACTTCCCCTCAGCCTCCTCTCAAGTCCAGCCGCCAGACCATGATGGCCCTTCAGCTTTTCTCTCGAGGCAGGTCGCCAGAGCATGGTGGCCCTTCGACCCCCTTTCCAGGCTGGCCACCAGAGCATGGTGGCCCTTCGGCCACCTGTCAAGGTCTGCTTTCAGGAGAAGACTCACTCTCACGCCAAGTTTCTCCACACCTGTCTCTGTTTACAGGGACAGAGGCAGGGAGCATCCAGTCCCCCATCCACACCCAGTCCCTGTTTACTGAGACTGAGGCAGTGGGTGCCTGGGCCCGTCCCCAACAGACTGGACATGTAATGAGATTTGGAGATGACCGCTGGACTAGAGCCGTTACCGACTGGATTCCACGGGACATCAAAAGATCGCGTGGCCTTTTTCCCCCTGGACAGCAAGATGGCAGCCTCCTCAGAGCTCTTTGGAAAGCCAGGTATGAGCCGGCAGTGATGGGGAAACTGAAACCTCATGGGAAAGGGGGCGTTCCCGGCTTGTCCTTCACGCTCTACCAAGGTCATGAGTTGTCCCCCACAAGCGGCTCTTCGGCACAGCCATGGATCCAGAGCCATAGAAACCAATCTCGTAATTATCTGGCTCGTGGCAGAAATACCTCCAGGCTTAATAAGTAAAATATCAGAAATCCAAATTCGTGCAGCTGCTATCATGGCCGTGCGACATCATATGGTTCTCATAACTAACTGTAGAAAACAAATTATTTCACAATGCCTTTTCAGCAGTTCTGATTGTTGGGTGTACATGGAAAGTATCATGTTAAGCGAAATGAGTCAGAAAGAGAGGGATAGATATAGAAAGATTGCATTCATCTGGGGAACATAAAGTAACAAAATAGGATACTAACACCCAAGAGTGGCCGAGATTAGTACCAGGAATTTTGCTCCATGTCTTGGAGGCCAGCCACACATGCTAGGGGAAAAGGGAGCTCAGATAGAGAAGGGAGCACCAAATAAAGTGTGTTGGGAGGATCCTCCCAGGATGGGAGAAGCATGCTGAAAGTAGACTATAGACCAAACATGATTGCCACTCAATGCCTCTTTTGCAAACCACAACATCCAAAAGCAGAGAGAAAACAAAAGGGATTTCCCTGCCACAGAGGCAGGATGGGATGGGGGGGATGGGGGGTGGGAGGGATACTGAGACCCGTGGTGGTGGAAAATGGGCACTGGTGGAGGGATGGGTGCTTGATCATTGTATAACTGAAACCCAAGCACAAAAATTTATAAGTCTACAACTGTACTTCATGGTGTTTCACTAATAAAAATTCAGAAAAAAAAAAAAAGATCGCGTGACTGCCCACCTACGAGATGATCAGACTTCTTTGTCAAGACCCTGAATGATCAGTTTGAGGCTCTTCGTGTTCCTAGAACAAGCAGACACCATTGGGCTACACTAGCACGTGACAGGGGTCAAATGGAGACGTTACTGGTGCCTGCTCGAGCAAATCGATGAGTAATGGGATGTCAAGTGATCAAGTGAGGAATCTCCTCATGCTGGCTGTTGGCCACCTGACAGTGCTGTCACAGGACCATTAGCTGCACAGTATCAACCCTGTCCTTAATAAAAGTGATGAACTTATTTAGTATGTAGGGGCCAAAGGTTAGAATAAG